GGGTTCTACTTACAGAACATGCATTACTTGTCAAAAGGATATACTATCAAATATGAGCTCATACGTTTAAATATAGAAAAGAAGCAAAATCTCCATATTTATTTTAGCCCAGCACAATATCTGAAGAAAAAAGCATGTTTCTTTAACTAAAAAACTTACATAGTGCTCTACTAAATACAAATATTAACATTACAAGTATTAGTCAATATTTAATCCTCACAACCACCATATAAAATAGATACAATTATCTTCACCCCCACTTCTTGGGTGAGGAGATTATAGCATTAAGAGGTACAGTAATTTAATTGAGGTCAAACAGCTTGTAAGTGGCAGAGTCCAAATTGAGATGTGGCGGTCCATTCTGCTAAGCTGTCTCTTCTCTTACACAGCCTCAAACAAGAACCCTGACTCCTTATCCTGGGTTCTGAAGCTTCAAGGGATGTATCATATGTGATCACTACCTCTCCACAGATTTGATTTCCAAGTCAGTTAAGACTAGACCTTGTATTACTATCAACAGAGATGACGACTTTTCTTTCTAATCATTGCTAAATAATGACCAAGTGAGTTTTACAAAAGTATAGAAAAATCCAAAATGTGAATTTGAACACATATACATCAAAAGTATCCTTACCTTCCTAGCTCTTTAGATGTAAGCGTATAAAAATTATTAAAGTTTTCCATTTTTATTGGAGTTTGAGGAGTTGTAGTTAGCAAGCCCGAAATACTTCGGCAGTCAAATCTTCTTCTCAGCATGTTAGATGACTCTTGGATGTGCTTCTTCAGTCACTTATTTTCACCTATTTAAAAAAAGAGAAGATGCAGGATATAACTTAGATGCAATTAAGAAAAAAAGATGTTATCTCAGACAAGAAGTGTGTCATACCACATAGCTCTAGCTCCAAATATAGCTAAAAGATACAGCCAAAAAAAAAAAAAAAGAAAGAAAGAAAGATTTAAGAGCACATTCTATCCAGAAGGAAGAAAAATGAAAAGCACACACAGAAGCTGGTAGCACCTCTCTGGTACTTGAACTAAGTTACTGACTTCAATTTAGAGTAAAACTACTATAAAAATCCTGTAAGGCTTCTCAAATTCTTCAAAAAAATTGTTACCATAAAATTTTAATATAAGCAACCATTCAGTTCTTAAGCTCTCATTCTTTAAAGTTGTATCTTCACATAACAAGATGACTTAACCCAGCAAAGTAATGATTATTCATTTTAAATTTAATTTCACACGGCCAAACAAATTTGGTGGTAAATTCACATGATGTGAGTTATACTACTGACATCTGAATGACTACAAGAAATAGCCTTCTCTCACAGGTCTTAGAGCTTCTTTTGGCAGAACCTAGCCAGAGCCTGCCATGAATGAAGAGCTCTATAATTTTGCTGGATGAGTGAGTGAGTGACCTTGCAGAAAGCCTTATTCCGGAGTTTCATCTGTATCTGAAGCTCATATTTATCTGGAAATACCTTGTGATACAAGTATTCAGTTTTAACATTAAAACAACTATTTCATACTAACTGAATTCATATAATAACAGCAAATTATGTATTTTAAGATACTCCTGACTTTCTGCCATGCCTGTCTAATAAAAGATCCAGTATTATTCTTCTAGCTCCCTCTTATAATAACCCCCTAAGCTTCTGCTCTGTGTCTGCCAGATTTTTCCTCCCTTTATTTCCTTCTTGACATGTTCTGTTGTTTATCTTCCTAAATTCAAATGCCAACTTTATTCAACTTAGCAAATAAGCAGTGTGATTAGAGGTGAGTGTTTTCAGTTTCTGTGTTTTCTTAGTTTTATTCTTAAGTAAAATTTGCTTTCTCTGAACCCCTCGGTCTTGCCTGAACTAGTTTTGGGATGCATCTCTAGGAGTCAAAGGTAGCAGTGTAGCATTCTGAAAATAACATTTGGACTGAATCATCTCTGGGTCTGAATTCCATTTATCCATCATACCAGCTATGAGACACGAGATATTTAACTTTGCCATTGTTATGGGCTGCACTATGTTCCTCCCCTCAAAATTCAAATGTTGAAGTCCTAACCCCCTAGTACCTCAGAAAGGACATTTAAAGGGGTAATTAAATTAAAATGAGATCCTCATTTTCATTAGGGTGAGCCCTAATCCAACAGGATGAGTGTCTTTATAAAAAGACAAGATTAGGATACAGACACACACAGAGGGAAGACACAAGACAACGACCCACCCTCAAGCCAAAGAGAAAGGCCTCTGAAGAATCCAACCCTGCTGACACCTTGATCTCAAAATTCTACTCTTTAGTGCAGTAAGAAAATAAATGTCTGTTAAGTCACCCCATCTACAGTGCTCTGTTATAGCAGCCAAGCAAACTAACACAGCCACTTTTAAAAAGAAAAAGAGAGAAAGAAAGAAAAGAAGAATGAATTATTTCAAATATGTATGAAGGTATACAAACATAACAAACATGGAGGTTTTTCAATCTTATTACTTTGCTATATTTCATTTAAATTAAAAATAAATAAGATATCATAGACACAGTTGAAGTCTGTCCCTCCGTCCTCAGTTTACATTCCCACTAGCGCTGGGTGTGGGGGCTTATCATTTCCTTGACAACATTTGCTGTACTCAGATGTTAAATTTCGGCTCTTCGAGTGTGACGAAGATGAAATGGAATTTTGTGATTTACTTTGCATTTCTCTGATTACTAGTGAGGAACGCTTCTATTCTGCAGCCTCTAAAGTGGGGTTGATAACAGACTCTCTTGCAGAGCTCCGAAGACTAAGAATTAAGATAAGCTGAAGTCAGGTGGAATGGCACTGTTACAGTGCTAGTCGTGAAAGCACATCATGATTGTTCAATAAATAAATATTAATATTCTTAAAGATACTCCCCATGCAGTCCTCTGCTATTATTGAATAGCTGTACCCTATTTTCACATACAAAACTCTCACCCCAAGTTAGCTTCAACTTAACTCTTAAATTCTGTATTTTTTATTCTGTTTTGGTGAATTGTTTTGTATAGTTTCTTAGTTTCAATGGCACTCAGTTTCATTGGTCACATATTCCTCTCTGAAAAACTGATACAGTTACCAGTTTCTATGCTCAACCTTTTTTTTTTCTAGGTCATCTTTGGGCTTTTAATTTTTTCCCCTTAATTTAAAAGTCTATGAATATGCATGCTTATGATCACATTTATGTTATACACATACATACATAAAGAAGGGCTATACCTGCACCATAGATATAAATTGGACTGCATTCACAACACTGTTCATTAACCAGCCCTTGGGAAACATGAGAACAAGAACACGTCACATTCACTCACACAGACAAAGTATAGGCCCTTGATTCTAAGATGTTCACCTCAGCTAGATTCTAAAATCTACGATGATTATCTCATGCTGTGACATATCAGCTAAAAAGTGATCTATTCATAAGAATCTAGTAGAACTACATTTTATAAATAAGTGTTTTCTGCTCTCAAGTTTCAAAAGCATCAGTGTGGGTCTTAGATGTAGACAAAGACTTATGCTCAACAAAGCATGATTTATAATAGTGAAAACAACAGAAAACTTGTAGAATGAATGAACTCCAAAGTACAACAATAGGGAAAGGTTAAGTACACCTAAATAACAGGATATTATATACTTAATAAAAATTGCGCTTTCAAAGAATATTTTTAACATATGATGTTGAATGATAAAAGGAAGACAAAACTTTATATACAGTATGATAATTTTGTTATGTAAAATATATATTTGTTATACATAATTTTGATATATATAATTTTGTTAAACATAAAAACAAACAGAAGAAAAGAGTGGAAAACTATGGCAAAATAATTAACAGTGGTTATCTCTGGGTGGTGAGATTATGGCAGTATTTATACTTTCTCGTGTTTAAATTATGCACACCAAGCAGGTATAGACAAAAACTATTAAACGTCTTTGGGTAAAAAAGATGGCTGTGAATACATATGACTAGACTATAGATGCAGAACCATAACCATTTGTAACAGCAAAATTTATCTCTTTACACATTAAGGGTTTACTTGGTTGGAAGTTCGTGAACCATTAGTGCTCAGGTTTTTTAAGGCCTCAATGTTTTCTCTGTATTTATTTAGAGGAGATGATGTTCATTATCCAAATAAAGGCAGTTCTTATGCAAAGACCATATAAGCATTTAGGATAAACACTAAGCAAGAATTAACACCTTGTTTAATATTGCATAGAAAAAAAATAACAATACAAATTCTGACTTAATGTTATAGTTCTAATTTTATATAAGGAATAACAATTTGTAATCTTAACATTAAGACATACACCTTTATATGTGTACTCAGTTTGATTTTCTTAATACAAGACATTGGCTTGTGCTCAATTTTTTACCCTAACAAATTTCCCAGCTCTCACCTGTACAGTTGGTCATAATGAATGAATGAACCATAAGTATTTGACTATAAATGTAGCTGAAAACAGCACTGGGCAATCAGATTTTGAAGTACATGTTAATCCAAAAGTCATTTTTTTAATTGTGATACATTTCACTCCAGTTCTGAATATGCTAGAACACAAGTCGCATCTCAGAAGACAGGAAAAGCACATTGCTGAACACTGACCTTTAAACTTATCTACTTATTGCTAATATGCCTGTATTACAAACTGTTTTAGGCATCTACACAGTATCCTGTAAGTGTGTCTTCCTTCTGTCTACTGCATGTGCACCACATGCAGTAAATGCCACAGCCTAGATATTTTTTCATTTCCTCTCCTTTGGCTTATTTTGAATATAGTGGAGCATGAATGTCACCTTTGTCCACCAAACCCTCCATAAACATCTGGTTGCCCTTCATATAAACTTTAATCCTTGGATACATGAAGGTTATCAGTCAATTCTCAGCCTCTCCTTGCAGCTTCCTAAATTTCCCACCAAATTCTCTTTAACTCCAACAAACAATCAGACCTTTTTTTGTTTCCTACCATAATTTACAGACCTATGACTGATTCAAAATTACCAATATGTCTCACTCCATTTGAAATTCAATTCAGAAAACTTTATTAGGCAATACTAATAAAAATCTAAAGGGACTTAGCAGGTAAATGTGTGTGTGTGTGTGTGTGTGTGTACAGTTCACAGTTATAGAAACAATCAAGTACCAAATACAGTAAGAGGGTAATAGGAGGCAAGATACAATCAAACTTTCAATTACACAGTACTACTAGGAATAATGCACCTCAAACTTATTTCCAAAGATTTTTTTCACTAATTTCCATTACAATAATTACAGTAAGAATTCAGACATGGATCAGTGAAGGAAGGAAGAGAAGGAAATGTTAGGCTTGGTATGGGCCTTAACATACTTGAAGGGAGAAAGCAGATACGATATGATCAAAAGTAAGACAGCTATTTGTGAACCTCTAAATAGCTCTGTTTAAAACTATTCCTCATGATATTCATTTCAAAGTTATCAAATAAAAAATGTATTATAAATAGAATATATCATATACAGTAAATAAAAGCTTCTAGACAATTAAACTGTCTGCTTTGATCCCTGCATTAGATATCTAGTCCCTACAAGTTCAAGACCTTATAGCATGACACACAAAGGCCTTTGGGGCCAGGTACACACCAGCTTCATTTCCTGCCACACTTTTATCTCATATTTTCCTTCCACACTTTCCTGTCTGAACATCCTTTCTACTTTTCCTCGAATGGCTAACTCTTTAATGGTATCCTTCATACCTCAACATAGAATGTTATCTCCCCCAGGAAACTTTGCCTAAAAACCCACAGGTTGTGTTAAATGTCTCTCT